CCCTCCCCACTTCTAGGTCCACCCCCCACCCCCCCGCCCCAGCCCTGCAATGCCCTTATCCCTCTTCCCTGCTGGGTCTCCCTCTCCCTCCCCCAGGACTCTGCCCCTCCCTCCCGGACCTCCCCCTCCAGCCCCTCACCTGTAATTCCTGCCCCCTACACAGTTGTTAAGCCATTTGCAGTGGTGGTCAAAGTCAGATACACACTTGTTGCAGGCCCTACAGTGTTTAGCCTTCTTGTTCCTAGAAGGAAGAATTCACATGAGCAGCCCATTAGCAGCATGTGCAGGAGGAAGACAGGGTCAGAAGGGAGAGACAGGTGGCAGGGAAGACCAGGCCCCAGGCAGGTTATCTTCCCTCAGCCACGCCTGCCACACGGTGCCACCAGCTCCCATCCTGAGCCACAGGCCTCCCTCCCAGGCTGCCTGCTGAGCCTTCAGTGCTCTGACTAGCCCAGGTGGGGTTCCGGTGGGAGGGCTGGGACTCATCTGAGCCCCTAGATGGGTGAGGGGTCCTGCGTGTCTCAGGGCCACTGCTGCTCATTCAAGGAAAGCGGCACCAGTCAGCTGCATGGAAACAGAAAGGCCGGGGCAGGACCTGCCTGTGCACAGCACGGGGAGGGGACGGGTCCACACGGCAGGGGCCGCGCCCTCGGGGCTGCCTGCCCCCACACGCTGGGCACTCACACAGTGACCTCACACAGGTGGCAATATTGGTTCTCGATGACATGCGTGTTTGGATGGGTCGAAGGTGGGTACGGGCTCCGAGTAGTTCTTGAGCCGTACGTTGGTTTCAGCAGGATCGATGGAAATTGCAAGCAAGTGGACCATGAAGTGGAAACAGAAAAGCCCACCCGTCACCTGGGCGTGAGTGTGTCAAGGAACGTGCGGCCAGGCCCGGTCAACACGGCGAAGGTGCCCGCTCAAACTAGAAGCAGGACCCTGGAGGCGCCTGCTTGCGGCCTGAGGGCGTGGACCCCACGCTTCACCAAGGCAGCACGTTAAGGCCCTCAGGGGCCAGCAGCCACCACGCTGGGTGCCGAAGTCGTGGGGGTTCTTTGGGCGGCAGAGATGCTCAGAGCACGTGCGTCGGGGGAAGAAGACAGTGTATCATCAAAAAATGGAGGGGAGCAGGGAGGGCTCACACAGCCAGTCTGCACGGTCTATCTGGGTCCTGTCTTGTCTCTCCTCGCCCCTAGGCCCCTCTGGCTCTCTGGACCCACTCCCGCCGTGGCACCCAGGGTAAAACCAGTCCCCGGGCTCCCATCCTCCTCCTCCCCTTCGGGGCCAACACACTGTCTGTCTCCTTGGAAACCAAACAGAAGAGGTGGAAGCCGCCTCCCTGTCAGCCCTGCCCTGCTTCCCAGGACCGGTGCTGAATGGGAGCGTTCAGGGTTTACAGGCTGGGTTCCAGGGTGTGGCAGGGGGAAATGACCCAGCCTGGGAGGCGAGGCCACGGTGCACAGGGTTCTGCCGGGATCTGACAGGGGTGGGGGTTCGGGGCAGGGGGCTGGGGCTACTGCTCAGTCCTACGGGAAGCCCCCTCAGGGTCCTCCTCAGACCTGCCAGCCGCCTCCGCCTCAGCCTCTGCCTCCGCCTCCACGGGCCTGGGGCTGACAGGCGGGGTCCTGCCTCCACAATGCACTAGCCTGAGTGGGAGGCTGCTTCTGGCCCAAATCGCTCATTCCTCCCTCGCCCTCCAGCCTCTAGGCACCACGTGCAGACCCAGGACTCAGGCTGCCAGATGAAGGCATGGAGGCGATGGGGACCCAGCCCTGCTGGGGGAGGAGGGCAGGCGAGAATGAGCTGAGGGCCGTGAGGATCAGCCCAGGAAGCTGGTGTCCATGCCAGGGGTGAGTGGAAGGGTGGCTGAGAACCAGCCAGGCCCTGGGGGACCTGCACGGGGGCACGAGACTGACCAGATCCCTCAGTGCCACATAAGGGATGTGGTGACACCAAGGCCCTTCCTGTGGCCACCGGACCCTGCAGGGCTTGGTAAGGCCTGACCCTCCCCGGCTCTGCTGTTCCATTCAGGGTATGGGGCCGCGGCCAGGTGGTCAGGGGCCTGGTCAGGCTTTGCCATCACAGCTGGAGACACCAACAGTGTGCTGGCACACGGTCTCCCTGCACCTGCTCCCTGAAGCCTGAGGCGCTGGCTGGAGGCAAGCACTGTTTGTGTGGTTACTGGGGCAGCGGGAGCAGGTCCTGAGCACAGGGGTCCGGCCCGGGACAAGAGGTGCGGCAGGAAGGCCCCTTCCTCTTTCGCATCAGAAACAGGCAGGCTAGGTGTGGGGGAGGGACTGAGGCGTTGGGGCCCTTGGAGACAGTGTAGGGGCAGCGTGGCCTGCACTCTAGCCTCAAACTGGAGGCAGCGAGGCCCCTGACCTGAGCCTGATTTTCCCCTCCTGTCCCAACCCTGCAGGTGCCGTGGCCAGGCCACTACCAGAACGTGTCCCCCAGGAACAGAGGGGCAGCCCCCCGCCATGTGGTAGGCAAGCCCCCTTAAGCACAAACACAGGTTCAGGCAGGTCACCCGTGGGAGTGACACGGGTGAGCAAAAGGCCACCGTGTTTTGCCTGGCCATTCACTCCGTCAGCCACTTGGCTGAGAAGTGTCAGCAGGTGGGCACCACACCAAAGTTCTGCCCCCACATTCAGATGCCCGGGTTATGGGTGTCTCTCAGGTTGCAGAGAATAACAAAAAGTAAAAGGCACAGGGTAGGAGGTCTCCAGCGGCAGAAGGCCAGGCCCTGCCCTCGAGGCCCCATCCCCTTAGCGACAATCTGTGTTTGGTAAACACACAGCTCTGCCAGCCCAGGACACACGCCCTCCCGACCTTCCTTTCGGGTCCTTCCGGTTCTGCGGCAGGAAGGGGTGAGGCGCCCCCCAGAGATCCCACCACCCCCCACCAGCCCTGCAGTCACTGAGGCTAACCTAACCAGGGGTTTCGCCTGGCCACGGCGCAGGCTCCTGGACTAAGACGGGTCACGTCAGAGGCCAGTCCCTCAGCACAGGGACCCTCCGGGGCCCTTCGCAGGGGCAGGGCTGTGGGGGAAGCTGGCCGCTGAGGTCAGCGGGGAACCAGGGGTCCGCCTCCTCTGCTGTGTCTTCTGGAGGTGCAACCCAGACCCTGCCCTCCCTCCTGGGGCAGCAGTCCCTGCAGCGCCGAACGACGCTGGCGCCCCCCGGTGGCCAAGCGCTGCGGGGCCTGAGAGGAAAGGAAGCCAGCCAGAACCTGGGACTCGGGCCAGCCAGGGGCTCCTGGGAGAAAGGGTGTGCAAGTGAGCTCGGGGCGCCCTCTGGGCCCGAAAGCAGGTGAGTTCTCAGAGTGCTCCCTGGACAGAGAACACCAGGCAGCTTGAGAAGGCCCCAGAACAGGCTGAGCCACAGCGAAGGGAGAAGGGAGACAACGGATTAGAACCCAGAACGCAAACGAACCCACAGTCAGGGACGGAGGTTAGGATACAGATAGAGGGGCAGCTGGAGGCAGCAAGGCCGCCAGGAACTGGCCCTCCCCAGATCTGGCCCCTGCCGACACTAAGGGCTTCTCTTCCCAGAACGAGAGAGGGCTCCCTCTCAGAACTGGGAGATGTTTCGCTGTGGTGCGAGTCCCAGTGAGAGTGCCACTCTGACCAGGAAGTCGTGGGTCGGGCACTGCTGGCCTTCGTGCTGGGACAGAGAGAGGAGACCCCTTGCCACATGCAAAGCGTGAACTGTGCCTGGATTCTGAATTTTAAAAACCCAACAAAGCAGGTTTTGGGGGCCAGTGGAGAAATCTACAAGGCTGGCCGACTTCTGCCCATCCTCTTGTGTGTGAAAGACACAAGTTATACGGGGTGATGTGGGGCGTGGGATGTTGGCTTTGCAGGCCCCACCTAGCATCGTCAACCCTGGGCCACAGGCCTAGAAGTGGGGCAGCTGCATCCGGACACAGAGGACCCACATTCCCAGCTCTGTGCCGCTGGATCAGACACCCTGAGGGCCCCACAGGGGGAGGCTGGCCAGATCGGGGGCTGCGTGGCACTGGGGGGGCAGCAGGCTTGCACATCAGGCCATGGGGTTCGCCCAGGCTCACTGGTGGGGTTGGCCAGCGGTGGCCCCCAGAGCACGGATGCGCTGGCGAAACTGAGGTCTGTCACCCACAGAGTGAGGTGTGAGGAGGGGGCAAGGCTGGCGATGCCCGCCTGGCCGGGGGAGGAGCACTCGGCTGCACCTGCCACGCTCCACCAGGGGGCCTGCGCGCCAGCCCCAAGTGCATCTCTGATGCCCGCCCACCTGGCCTGAAGCCTACTCTGGTGACACGTCTGGAGCCTCCTTTCAAGGTCACCACGGGTTCACAGTCCCCACTGTGGCCTATGTGGCTCCTAACCGCCGGCGGGTTTTCTCTCTGGCCTCGGCCACTCCAGGCGCAGCCAACACCCGCCACCAGACTCACCTGTCGCAAGAGGGACACGGTTATAATCGGTGTCTTCCTCGCACCCCTGGCGTGGCTCCCCCGCCAGCCAGCCTGACCCAGCCCACTGCAGACCTGCAGACAAGTGGGGCCCGCATGGGGCACCCCAGACCCTGAGAACGAACGCCATGTGAATCCCTGGGACTCAGCCTTCAGTTTCTGAGCCAGCCCCGCGACCCCTCTGCGACCCTTTCCTGTCGTCCAGGCTGCCTGCCTCACCCCAAAGCCCCTCCAGCCCTGGCCCCCAGGCGTGCTCTCCCTGCACTGACGGCAGGCGAGCAGCACACACTCTGCTTTTAGCCCCGGCCCCAAGCCAGGGAGCCACACCGAGAACGAACGTAAGGTTTCAGGCAGCGTGGCCGTGGCAGGTGTCTGGGGTGAAGAGGAGGAGCGGGGTCGCAGAACAGGGGTCGCAGCGGGGGCTGGTAGGCGTGGCAGGGCCCCGAGCCAGATCTGGGGCAGGGCCCGCGGGGAGCCTCCCTGGGACAGCGGGCGCTGCTCCCACAGTGAAGGATACACCATAGATGACCAAGTTCCAGTTAGGCGGCAGCAAGGGGACGAAGATACCGAAGTTGGCGAAGGCCAAGATGAACAGCATGGTCCAGGCCACCGCCTGGAAGGTGTGCAGGGGCCACGACCAGCCATTCACTCTGGACCAGCGGCGGGGCGAGGCCTGCTTCCTGCTGGCTTCCCGCAGGGCCCCTCTCTGGCTCCGGCCGCACAGATCCATCTGCAAGACGGGAGGAGGGTCACCCCCACCCCCAGGGAAACCGAGGAAAAGATTGCAGGAAAAGCAGACCCTGTGACAATGCGACACTTTTGTGTGCCGAAATCCTCAGGGAATCTTCTGCGAGTTTCCCTTGAGGACAGAACAAGAGACCGCGTTCCTGCTGCAGAACAAAGGCCTGCTGACTAAGGGGCTTCTGGGGTCTCTGGGCACTCTGGGGACACCCAGGTCGAGCTGAGGGGCTGGGAGGGAGCCGTGGCCACTTCTGGCCAGGTGTCCGGCTGTTGGAGAAGGTGAGCCACATCACAGCCGCCCCTGGCAGAGCCGAGGGTCCTGGGGACTTTGCCTCATTAGGGCGGATTTCTGCCCCTCTTCTCAGGGTGTGGGGCCAGGCAGGGCTTACCTGATCAGTGAGACCCCTGGGGGACCACAGAGACCATCCCACATGGACGGCGAGGCCAGCACCCCGGGGGTTGGAGCACAGAAAGGCACCGTGTTACGAACGACACGATTCCTGCGTGAAAACAACATTTGGATGGAAGTACCGGCCAATGGGAAGGATGCTTCTGGAAACCAAACCCCACTAACGGGGAGGTGGGCTCTAGGGCGTAACCGCAGACCTCGGCCCAGGGAGGTGAAGCAGGGGCGTGGGAGAAACCGGAAGTGCCGTGGAGGATGGCAGTGGCGACGGCACTCATCTTGTCGAAGAAGCGCCGGGGTGCGGACAGGACACGAAGAGGGCACAGGGAAGGCAGGGGAGGGCGCACGTCGGCCCAGGAGCCCGTGGAAGGCAAGGGTGGGCCGCATCCTACGGGGCTTCCCAGGACAGAAATGGCATCGCTGACGTGTGGAAACCCTGAGGTTGCAGCTGGCATTGGATTTGGCAACACTTGAAGCAGAGCGAGTTTTCACGCTCTGAGACTACTTTGAACCACAACAGAGACAGCCAAAGTGTCGCGGGAACGTGGGACTGAGAGTGCGCGCGTGGGGGCACCGCAGCAGCACTCCTCGGAGGCCCCCCGGAAGCTTCCCTGCAGCCGACCTCAAAGTGGCACCAAGAGCAACACTCCACGGGGTGCGAGCGCAGCCTTGGTCCCGGGGGCAGGACCACAGCGGCCCGAGTGTGAGGTCACAACCACGCACGCGGCCCAAGCAGCCGCCGCGGGAGGTACACGCTTACCGTCACCGGGAGTGGCTGCAGCCGGCACCGCCAGTCACGTGGGCGCTGGTGAGCTGGGGGGGGGGGG